TAGTTAGTTAGTTAGTTAGTTAGTTAGTTAGTTAGTTAGTTAGTTAGAACTTGCAGTGTAGCAGCAGCTTTACACATAGTGACAGTCCCAGCACAATGAGGTAAAAAGTCAAAATAATATCCAGACGTATTTACAACATAAATGCAATATAAGCATGTACAAATAATACAAGTAAAATATAATAAGTTGTAGGTGCAGTGAACAGATTGTGTATAATCTATTAAGACACGGCTAAAATACGTTTGTGCATGAAGTCATATGCTTCTCTGAGTTTATATTCCCATTTTTAAATCAGGTAAGGAGCAGGTTCTGTGTGTTTTTGATCCAGAGTCCAGATGGAGGATACTGACCGTGTCTGGCCGGGAACTGTGAGCTGAGGCAAACTAGTCCGAGCAGCTGGAGCAGCCTGGCAGCCACCATGACCACTGCACGGAGACAGACACACACAGTCAGGACGGGCAAACCAACCGGAATTACTCCCACAGAAGAAAAGCAGACAATTCTTCGTCTCAGTGTGACATCCTAAAGCCCCGTTTGACCTAACCGAGACGACAGAAACAACGTTTAACCGCGGAGGGTTATGCTAACACGCCACTTCTCACTTACTGGTAGTTCCTTAACCGTTACCGTTCCTGCCGACGAGTTTGTGTCTCCGGTCACAAACAATGTGCTTTTACTTACCTAGGAAACTACAGACGCACAATCCTTTAGATAAAACCTTAACCACCGTCGGAAGTGGCCACCAGCACCTGAGTCACGTCGCTGGCTGGGTTCTCATTTGGGCCCGCCCACTTCCCGTTAATATAACGAGTGGCGCAATCGGTTTCATAGACATAAATATTACAAATGTACGTATATAGTATATATGTACATATTACTATGATGAGTTTAGCGAGCTAGCACATTTTTATGCAGCCTAACATCGTAGTGACGAGTCTAAGTTGTGGTCTGCTGATAATAATAAGCGAGGTTGCGGATGGTTTAGGAATGTGTGAGAAGGCCGCAGAGCGGTCTCTGATTGGCCACAAAAGCTGTCGATCAAAGGAGGCTGACGCATGGAAGGGGTGGGCCTCCGAGCTGTTTTCCAGTATGTCCCCGCCCCCTCGTTACAGGAAGCCTCCGGACTGCAGCCACCAGCTTTACATAAACTTTTTAAAACACATGGAGAGAAGCAGGCCGTTTTTTGTCTGACTTCTCTTTATAAGCAGGTCTGCCCAGGGAAAAGATGGCTTTTTGGGTACAAAGGAAAAATAAAGAATTTGGATGGAATCTCCTTTGATCAGCTGTCTTTATTGTGTGATGTTCCCAAAAGACCCTTCTTTAAATATGTAAAATCAAAAGCTTTATGTTATCCAGAAATAAGCAAATGGTGTGTGTCTCACTTTGTCAACATTATAGGAAATACAACATATAAATGTAGAAAGTAAAGGTCCTGTTTCCAAACCCTACAACCTGCAGATGGATGGCAGCAGTCTGTGGACGACTAAAGGCTTTAAACATTTACATACAAGAGGAAGTGGGAGAGGCAGAATGGAATAAAGTTTGCATAACTGCTCAAAAACAAAGTCTTGACAAAAGAAAACGTGCTTTTATCCACATTGACGCCACTTACGCCTGGGAAACTTCATCATATGTCAGCTCACATCCCAGACAGAAGCACAAACTGGTGGAATGAAAAAGAAACTGATTCATTGTGAGTGTGAATGCCCTGAGAACCAAATGTTCTGGAAAGAGGTGACTAACCTGTCTGTCAGACAGGTTGGCAGTAGATCAAACACAGACCTGTGTAAAAGAGGGAACGTCAACAGAAGGACAGAGGGAAATGGAAGCAAGGTGTGAATGTGGAGAGTTTATTGTTCTGTTTCCTCCATGTGTAAAACACAGACATGTAAACAAACATGTTGGGTTTTTTCTTCGTTTTTGGAGTGTAAGGACAAATGCTTTATTTCTATACACTGCAATTATTTTAGTTTTAATCCAAGGTGGAGATGCATAGGTGTGGTCTGACACATTATCTCACAGCTGGCCACAGCTGGAGGATCCTGGTAGCATCAGTGAATCTGTTCCCTGTAACTACTGAAATAATCTCATTCCTGGAACCACAGGGGTAGGAGGAGGAGTGGCAGCCATCCAAAAATCAGGGTTACATACCAGTCCAAGATTTAGGATTGTTTTAGCTCTTTTGAAGCACTGGATTACAGTTTTTATCATCCAAAGTGGAAGTAAAAATGTAAACACCCGCTTCTGTTTGTTGTCGTTTATCCTCATTCCCATCATGTTGTGTTCTTGCTTTCCATCTTCAGCTCAGTGTTTCTACACTATTGTGAGATAAAATCCCATCTCACGCCACTTTAATCCACAAAACTAAACACGAACATCAGCAGTAAAAATATTTCATGATTGAAACTTTGATTTGAACTTTGGTTTGATCATTTTAGCTCTATTGAACCAAAGGTAAATTAAGTCAATGATAATTATCAAATGTGACTGAAAGAGTGATTCTGCTGTACCTATTAACATATTATTAACGTATTATGGAGCTGCTCAGGTGAAGATGCTGCAGGAAGAGACCCAGCTCAGACAGATTTGGATGAAAAAATAAGTTTTGTTTTATCATCACCCAGCTCTGAATTAGAAGTACAGAATGGTGCATCATATCTGGGGAGGTCAGAAAAAGCCCTGTCTTTTTTTTTTT